AATTAATTTGATGACCTGCTCCCAGTTGGCTTGTTAGCTCAATTGGTAGAGCGCTGCACTAGTATCGCAGAGGTCAGTGGTTCGAATCCCCTACAGGCCTAAATTCTTTCAGGTCTGATTTTCACTATTGCTTAAATAGTGTTCTTTACTGCGAGGATCGTGCACAAACACATAATATTTTCGTAAGGAATTTCCTCATTAACGCAACCTAGGTCGCAAATACCTAATCCGCAGTTTGCAATACCTTACCCTTTAAGCAATCTTTACGGATGGGGAATCTTGTCTATTAGGAAGTTTGCCCATAAGGAACTTTAGATCTAAAGAACTGTATTCCTAACGAACCTTATCCCTAAGAAATCTCATCCCTAAAGACCCTTATCCTCGAGGAACCGTATTCCTAAGGAACTTTATCCCTGAGGAACCTCATCCCTATGGAACCTTATCCCTATGGAAACTTATCCCTAAGAAACTTTATCCCTGAGGAACCGGCGCATTCCCAAGGAACCCTATCCCTGAGAAACCGAATTCCTAGGGAGCCTTATCCCTATGGAGCCTTATCCCTAAGGAACCTTATCTCTGAGAAAGCGTATTCCTAACGAACCTTATCCCTGAGGAATCTTATCCCTAAGTAACCTTATCCCTGAGGAACCGTATTCCTAAGGAACCTTATCCCTGAGAAAACGTACTCCTAAGGAACCTTATTCCTAACGAACATTATCCTTAGGGAATCTTATCCCTAAGGAACCTTATCGCTGAGGAACCATATCCCGAGGGAACCTTACCTTGACTGGTAAATGAAGGATAAGGATTCACGGTAGTTTGCTGTACAAAGGATTCTTATTCATAAGAGATACCCTATCCATAGGGAACCTTATTCATGACTGACCTTATCCAAAAAGAAACACGTCCTTAACGTAACTTAGTCCGTAAAGGGTATGGACTGCAGTTAGCAGTAGAAAGAATCCCTAGTCCACAAGGAACCCTATCCTTAACGTAACCACTTGGTTTTAATTTAAAATTTAATCTAGACCTACGTTACAAACCTGTATAAAAGTTTCATACGACTCGTCTCCAGGCTGAGGCGGACAACAAATTAAACTCATGGCAGCCTTAAGAACATAAAAAAATCAAGTGATGTTACGTACATTTTTTTTCCTTATATTTTACAAGTAACGTTTTACTTTCTCTTCAGCCTTTGCATAGAAGGGCTAAAAGTCGTTTCAGTACGGTAGATATATTTACTGGTGCGTGGTGTTCTACTTCTCTTTGTATCTGAAATCTCCCAATTTGTGAAGAGAGATAACACTTATTGGAAGTCCAAACGGTTTGACTTGCTTACCGTTCTGTTCCTATTGGACTGAATAGATTATCATGTGGTCATGTACATGTTTAAAGTTAAGAAACTTGAAATAATACCTGCCCAATAGTCGAACCACTAATACTTGGTGACATCAGATTTCTAAACTGCCCTTTGACTGCTTTGCTAAATCCGACCAACTCAAGATACCCTCCCCTCAAACCACACCTACATAAATAAAATAAATGAAATGTTCCTTAAGCAAAGTTAAAACATTTTTTTAACAACGTGCATGTCATTCGGTATTTACTCTACGTTCGCATATCATCCTTTCGCCCAGAGTTAGCAGTGTAAAACATATTAACTATTCCACGTTGAACATCTAAATACATATCTTTGGCGTACCGCAAACAACCCGTTAAGTTCCCCTTCCATTCATTCCCCTTAAAGAGAACTTCAAATAAAAACACAGGAAAAAATTATAATGCTATGGCGACGTTGTACAAATGATTACTCCGTGGTGTTGTTAATAATGTGTCTTCTCCACTCACTCGCCATAAAATCCTTTGGAAGCGGAGTTAAGCGACATCAATTGAAAGTTGTTGTATTCAGGTCCCAGGTCCCTCAAAACCTTTCTGCACGAGTGGAACGGGGCTTCCTCAGTGAAGACTGTTTCCTGATACACTTCATCCGCAAATAAAACCAGATTCTCTCGTGCGCAAAACTTGATGACTTCCCTTATGTTGTCGTAGGTCAGTATCTGACCTGAGTGTAAAAGAGAGGATAAGAGGATATTCATTGGAATTAAAATTTTGGCGCGTTCCTTTCGACAATTTTTTATTTCCATTGTGGGGTTTTTATTCTCAAGAACGAAAAACCAAGTTTTCTGCCTTACACACTCGACAACAGGTTTATCTGTATCTACAACCACAGCACAAGTTACCGTGGTTACAAACGGGTCTTACCTGTAGGATTACCAGGATTAATCAGTACGAGTCCTCTTGGTTCACAGTGCGGCCTGGCCTCATCTATGGCTCTCTTCATTTCGCTGATGTTCAAAGACCAGTTATTTTCTTCTTCCAAATAATACGGGATCTGAGCAGAAAGATCAACTTAAGCACAGCAATCATGAGCTACGTCACTCCTCTTATTCAACAGTCGAGAGGACTGTAAATGTTGTTCGAAGTTGTTCGAAGGCAGATTAGCGCTAACCCTGGGTTAAATTTTAATCCGCGTTTCTTTTATTCCTTTGTGCATGAGCCTTTTCGGGACAATTTTCTCTATTGTTTTTAGAGCATCCAATCATTAAATTCTAGACAAAAAGATTACCCTGGATTTTCTTTTAAAACCATCAGATCTGAGATCAGATTTCACGCTAACCCTGGGTTATCTTAACCCAGCTTTGAACAACCTGGCCCTGAAAGAGAAATAAATCCTATTTCTGGCTTTGAAACAAACCAAATTTCTCTTCTTGTAATGTACACAAAAACTCTGATTGGCAACGGAGAAGTTCACCATGGACTCTTATCTGAACAAACAACTTATTGGTATTGATCTTATTTAAGTTTAGCTTCTGTTAATTTCTCCTTGCCATCATCTGGCACAAAGATACAAATGATGATAAATGTTAAACTGAAGAGTAGGCAGCTTAATTAGTAGAAAGATGCCAAATGTAAGGATTCATGTCACATGGCAGCGTTACCTCGTAAAGGTTGAATTCTACTATCCTGGACTTGTAATGAGGGAAAACTGGTATAGGAATCATAAGCCCTGGCTTAAGTTTGTTGTTAGGCACATCGGTACCAAGCGAAGCTAGGGCTAGCTGTAGAAGGAAATTTTATACGAACATGAAAATTGGATAGAACCGAAACATATCTTGCGTTGTAATCGCAGTATTCTGGTTACCCAAACTAATTAACTACCTTTTACAAACACAGCCACACTAAGTTACAGCCACCGCCCGTAGGCGGTAGCCTACATTGTACATACACATAATGACCTCGCCACTTATGTCCACCTCATTGGAATTTCTCCTCCTTCTTCGCCGCACTCTTTGAAATTGTAAAGCCTGAATGGAACTGCCAAAATAATTTCACGGCGGCGCGCCTCAAACGTTCCTCTAGTTCCATCATTTCAACTTAAACTTGCCGCAATCTGAAGCATGAAGGGAACCTGAAAAGACTGGTATCTGCAATTGTACCCACTCCGAAATGTTAATGGTCAAGTTAAATTTTACCAAAGCTGGCCAAATTTTTTTTTTTCAAAATTTGTTTGTTGCAGAACACAAATAAGTTCTTTTTTTCCTTACATCTGTCCAGTTTTAGCGCACACATGACCTCAAAAAGTGTAAACAACAGAGGCAAACTTGTCTGAGGCTCGTAAACCACAGTTTTCGATCTAACCACGTAAATTTCGCTGTCATCACATTTTTGCACCTGTGATCTGTAACTGAGCAGATACACGACGTTGATCAGCAGATAAACTCCAACTCACTAGATAGGGCACTGGTCTCTCACCTGGATTCCTATTGCCCCTCCATTGGTTAAAATGACGTCATCAACGTCAGCTGGGTAACCATCTCTTTTCGAAATATACTTGGCTACATCCTCGCGAATAATTCTTAATCCAATAGTATCTGTGTACGAACCTAATAGAAGATACATTATTGGACAAAGTGATGAAATCCAAAACAATGTGAGTTATTTTTCAAAATCATTTGTGCCCCTAAAAAAAGGTAAAATTTAGTTGATTTCTGTCTCCTTGAGTGCTTTTCAAATACATTAAATATGGAGTCTGGAAACAAAATGACACAAAGAAAGGATATGAAAAAAGGACATTTGATAGTCATTCACTGAAGAGAAGGTGGCTAATGTACCAACATTCTCACTAACACTGAGGTAAATTCTTGTTATTCTATATAACACACAGAAATCGAAAACGTTTAAAACACTATTTACATATATTTCCCTCCTGTGCTGCAGCCGTCAAGTTCAGGAGCTTGTGAAATTGAGATATCAAAATAAATAAACAAACAGTTTTTAATAGATAAATGAAAATCAAAAAGAAAGAAGATTGGAATGCTCACTAGAATATCAAAAACCCAAACCAAACCCCACAGTGCTTATCCCAAAGTAGCACAACATAAAGGAAAGAGTGAAAAAAGGCAAAAAAAAAAAAAACCAACAACAAACCAACATTAAAAAAAGAAAAACAATAATTTTATAAAAATCTACTCAAAGGGCCCCTACTAAGATAAATTTGCTACCTACTTATTGCAAAACCTGGTGTTGCTCGTAGGATTCTGCGAGCCTTTTCCTTTACATCCTTTGGGAATTGTGGGTCATCAAGAAATTGTGGACAAAGTAGACAGGCTAAACACTAAGGATACAAAAAATCACCTTTATTAGTGGCCCTTATCAATGTATCTTTTATAAAAAAATATTGAAATATTTTATTCCATCTTTAATGGAGAAGCTTCATTTTATTTCTATACAATTTGTTGAAAAAGCCACTGAACACCTTAATTTGAATGATACCTTCAACAAAACAGAACTATCAGTTTTTGATTGAGAGCACATGCATGCATGCATGTAAATAAACTGTTCATGGCATCTCCCACCCTTCGAGTCCTGATAGCTTTTCCTTTCCCATGAGCTTAAAAGAGTCTTGGGATTGTACAAAGGTATGTCTCTGTTTGGGTTAAAAAAAATTGATAATAGGTGACATCAAGTGTATTATTAGATGTTGAGGCATTCAGATACAGGCTTTTTGGAGATGGCCTGGGAGCTGAATAGAGAGAGAGGCTAATTCAAAACATATTTAGGGTCACGATGTGGGGGGAGGGGGGATTTCGCATGGTTGAATGAATGGTTAATTTAATTTAATTTATTAGCCTCACTGACAGGCAGGGACCCCGCAACAGCTAGTGCCAATTACTGTGGGCCTAATACCCACCCATCCCACCCCAGGGGAGGACATCCACCACACAGTAATCTTGTGCATGGGAAATTAATGTCTCCTACCCCAACCCTGCTGGAGACGAGACTTACAGTTTATTCATCCTTATCCAAGAAGACTAGAATGTCTATCCATTTCCTGATATTATAGAAAGGTAGCACATTCTCCTCAGTAATTTTTAAGACCTTGAGTGTTGGTCTGGCCGGGGCTCCAACCCTCGACCTCCTACTCAACAGTCTGGCACTCTATCCATAGAGCTAACCAGGAGGTGGTTAATCCAAGTTGCAATGAATAATGTGTAGAGAACACATTATTTTGGTGGAAAAACTCACTATTTTATTCAAAATTACATATTACACACTTTGAGTTGCAAGAATGATTTCCACATTCCATTCTTCAAGATTTTGTTACGGGAAAGGATGAGAACAGGGGTTGTTAAAGTGAGTGGTGGTGCTTACTAGGGAGGGAAGCTAATTAGAAAAGGGGGAATTTTTTGAGAAAGGGTTCATTTAAAAGAGTGGCTCATAAGAGAGGGGAATTTTTAGAAAAGGGGCTCACATAGGAGGGGGCTTATTGAAGAGGAGGGCTTTTCAGAGTGTTTAGAGTATTCTTGTTGACCAAGATGTGGCAGGTGTAAAATAAATCTAGTTGTAACAGAGCATTGTAATAATAGCATTTAACCCATAAACATGCAAGATCAGTTAAAAATATGCTCTTAACTCTCTTGGCATAATTTACCAACCTGTCTTACAGAGGTGATAGGTGACTGTCCAAATGCGTGAGGGTCTCCATAATGTATTACAACCTCATCAAATGGTTTCTTTTCACCCTACAAAGTAATGTGATTTTAAAGTTTCAAATGAACTCTCTAGTACTTAAATCTGTGCATTTTTTTGCTTTCCTTCAGCAAAGTTTTTCCATGTTTGGTCTATTCCTTTGTGATATCAAAACCATGAGTGACTGTGAGGAACTTTTCACACAAATGACCCAGAAAACAATGCCATGCTTGCATGTAAAGTCACTCTGTATTTTTTTTATTTCTGATTACATGTGATAACCTCATGAACAATCAATAACATTACAGACTAGACTACTGAAATAGGTTAAAGAGAAGGAAACAGATCTTCTGAATCTAAGACTGAGAAAAAATCTTGACTACCCTTAATTAAACTGATGACTTCCATGAGTGACCAAGACAAAGTTTCTCCTTACAATATCAGCACAATATCATTATTGCAGTAAATGGTTTGAACCCGGGGGTAACATGTGCTGATATTGCTGATTATTGCACTATTTATGCAATAAATAATTTTCCCTATTGCATAAATAGCGCTCTCTACTGCAAGGATCGTACATCATTCGTATCAAATACTGCAGTTCAAAATATATGAACTTCATATATTCATTGTATCTGATTTACCTTCACGGGTTTATTACGAACCAACTTATCGGCCTGCTCCCAGTTGGCTTGTTAGCTCAATTGGTAGAGCGCTGCACTAGTATTGCAGAGATCAGTGGTTCAAATCCCGTACAGGCCTGATTTTTTTCAGGTCTGATTTTCGCTAATGCATGAATAGCGCTCTCTACTGCGAGGATCGTGCATCATACATATGTAAATATTTTACTTAGGAGAAAGTGTCACCTGGTCCATTTAAAAGAAAAATATAATCAACTTTTAACTGTTCCAACTATCCTTCCTTTTTTGACCTAATTACCATTTCAGTATACAGGAGACTTAAAATTGTGTATCAAATGTGTCTTGTTTCTCCTCTGACCTTGATTTTGGAGTTCATTCTATTGTTTCTTAGTGCCCTTAACCCTTAGAGCTACTCGTTGTTTTTTCATGGACCATGTCACCTTTTGACAGACTGTTAGTTGTATGCTAATAAGCCGTTTCATTAGCATGTAACGAACAGGTTACACAAATTCGCTCTATTATTCTACTAACAATCTAATTCATGGTGTAAAAGAGTAAACTACCTGTGTATCGTTCAGACATTCCCTCTATGCAATGCGAGCGGCTTCACCTTTTTATCTCAGAATCATGCAAATCACTTTCTTGAGCGAACGTTTCAGAAACAAGATTCAACGATAAACAGCCACAATACTGTGAAAGCATTAATTTGCTTCGGCTAACTAGTCATGGCCTAACAAGGAAGATAAAGAAACAGGCGATCCAAATTATTCTATGGGTTTGGAATACATAATTAAAGAACATAAAAGAACGGATTCGCACTCACCATCGCCATTTCGTGTTTTATTTCGTAAGCCCGGGCATCGATCCCTCCTCGGACATTAAAAGCTCTTTGGAACACTGGGTTGATTGTTTTATTTGTCAGAATTTCTTTTACTGCCGTTTCCATCGGTAGAAGAAGTGAATCTGGGGAAATTTCTTACGCTGGTTTATTGTGCAACGGATGTCAACGGAGTTACCAGTCTTCAGTCACGCAACGACCATGTTCCCTGGGTAAGAGGATATTTGTGAAAATCCATTGAAAACAGTGAAAATGGACAGTATCGACGATCTGATCAAGTCGATGAGTTTACCCGGGGTACCTTAGTATGTGAGAAGAGTTGGTGTCAGAAGACTATGGGGAGGACCCGTTGAGAGAGATTTGACTAGGGTCCGGGTTGACTGCGCATTAACGGTCTCTCAGCTGCGCAACATGTTCTTTCCACGCATTAGAAGATTAGAACGGCCGTTAATTTGAAATTCTTGCTGGATTGGTTGCTCGACAAACCAGCTTTTGTGGGATTTTTTTCGGTGGACTTAAAGAGGAACTATTTGGCTTCCGTTCTGCCAAGTTTTGATTCGAGGCAAAGTATTTCAGTGTTGTTTTCGAGCGATTTCCACGAGCATTTGTCAACAGAAGTTTCCGACCTTCCCGTATCTTGTGCACGGTTACTCGGTGGCGATTAGGGCGTCAAGCTAAAACACGTCAAAACGGCCACAAATCGCGAGGAGAACAACACAGACTACTCTCTATGAAGGTAAGACCTTATTTCTTTGATTGTTTCACACAACTTTACATTTACGGAGCTGAAAAGCAAGTCTAACTAAACCAGTATACAAACTCTTTAATAATCCACTGTGAAAGAGCCTGTGGCAGAGCTTGGGCGACCTGTGATGACTCCTTAGTACGCCTGTCACTACTGATTACGTAACACTAGAGTCCGGGGACACAGAGGAACGAGAAAAATGTTGTCGGCAATTTTGTGACGTACGCCGACGGCTGTTTGGATGAGTTTTTTTAAGGTTATTTCCCACCTTCAGAAGCCGGGAAAATCGTTTTTCTAGATTGAAGTTAGACATTTTACCTAACGTTTACTAACCCTAACCCTAATCCTAACCCCCCCCCCCCCAAAAAAAAAAAATTAAAAATCTCAAAAAGCCGTCCGACTGATTTAGGAAAACATATGTTAAAATAAAAGTTAATAAATCGGGAAGGTGTCATGTTCTCGTAAATGGGCGAGCCCTACGGAGCTCCTTAAGTGCTCTGCAACACTTACACTCTCCTTTTAATTTTCGCGACCTTTTTTTTTTCGCGATTTTTTTTTTGCCACTTTTTTCGCGCCTTTTTTTCGCGAAGAAAAACGTTCCGAAAAAAAAAGTGGTGAAAAAAAAGTCGCGAAAAAAAAAAGTAGCGGAAAAAAAAGTCGCGAAAAAAAAAAACAGTCGAAAATAAGGCGTTCCTTAGAACCTTCTGGGGGAAAATCGCGGCAATTTCATGTTATTTGCATATTTTGTTTACATCGCGCACTTGATAACATTCATACGTGGAAGTTCCCTGCAAGTGGAATGTCTTTTCTTATGAATAAAAAACATAAATCAAAATTAGAGAGGAGTCCTTGCAATTGGGCAAAGAGAAAGAAAAAACAGGCCCAAAGAAGACAGAAATGGCACTATTTTGTCAGGAAAAAAAAAAAAAAAACAATCCTGGCGCTCCTCTCCACTCTGGCATCCAAATTGCGAACAAAGAAGTCGCCATCAAATCTACATTTGTCGTACATAAGGTTGAAACCGAAGTTTCCTTTCAATAAGCAAGTACCAGCCGTGATACAAAAATAAAGGCAATTGCCTCAAAGCGTATGAAATCACGAATAAACCTACCCAAGAGAACTCATTCAGCGATAAGAGTATTTCTTAAGCTGTCTGTCGATTCGCTGTTTTGCTTTTCAGCTTTTCAGCAGGTTTTTCCAGCTTTACCTTTTTTGTTGCGGGATTTTCCTTTGCCAACTTTTCCCATTACTTAACGTTCAACTGAGCGAGATAAGAAGAAAAAAAAAAAGCAAAAAACAAAAAAACCTGAGTGCTATGCGGTACTTTTCGCCGGAAAATCTTGATCCATTGTCATCGACGCCAGGAGGTCCGTCTTCCCAGTCTTCCCATTGGTTCGCGGTTTCCGGAGGCGAGATAATCTTGTGTGGCGCTAGTTGTTTACAAACCTTTAGGAGCTAAAATTTCGCATTTGATTTTGAAAGATGTACTCCACTTTGAGCGAATTTATAGGTATGTAGATTCGACCAATTTTCGTGAAATTTCACCAAAACATTCTAGGGATAATGACGAACGAAAGCGTTTCAGCAAATTTTGATATTTGAAATAGTTTCCGTGTGGTGTCCATTCACGCAACATGTCTCGCATATTTTACGCTACTCTAACTTTAGATGCGGATATCTAGACGACCAATCAGAATTTGACGTGGAAAAAGACTTATCTGAATTTTTATCCTCAGTGCTCGATAGGACAGAGCAGTGTATAGATAATAATGAAACGGATATCAATGACTTGCAAGCACAATCTGTAGTTCTCGATCAAACCGTTAGTCTTTTGAGTTCTATTGCCTTAACTGACTTTGAGCAAGATCGGATCGAGTGGGAATCTCTAGCTACTGCCTTTGCAGTATTGAAAATTATCACACAACTCTAGCAGTAAAATCTTCCACTTCTCGATGTACATGTAAAATTCTCAGAATGAGAAATCCTGGGAGACCACAGTTCTATATATCTCCTGACACGTTGGAAGATCTTCTCAGACGTGGATTTTCATTGGAAAGAATTTCTTGGTTGTTTCGTCTAGCTCATTGGACGATTTATCGTAGAGTATAATCATATGGCTTGCAAAGCACGGCAAATTTTAGTTTGTTGCCGGATACAGAATTGGATGAATTAGTCTTGGAGTATACAGGCCGGTCGTCATGTATTTAACAACTGGGCGAACATACATAGCCGGGTACCTAATAAGTCACTTGGACTGAGGATTCAAAGAAGAAGAATTCGTGAGTGTTAAGTAAGAGTGGATCCAGCGAATACTGCCTCGAGGTGGGGAATTGTTGTTTCTCGTAGGCGGTACTCCGTCCTATGGCCAAATTCTCTGTGGCATTTAGATGGTCATCATTCTCTCATTCGCTGGGGTTTTGTAATCCACAGATGTATAGATGGTTTCTCTGGAAGAGTTGTGTTTCTCAGATGTAGTAATAACAATCTTTCGCAAACTGTTCTGGAACTCTTTCTGAAAGCAATTGAAAAAGATGGGTTGTGACCATCACGTATTCGTTTGGATTATGGTGTGGAAAATGTATTAGTTTCTGGCTCCATCGACTTGGGTGTCTCTGACCACCACCTAATATTCGTAGTTCAAAGTTGCAAGAGGTAATGCAAAACCCAAAGTTATCCCAACCAAGAATTATAAATCGCTAGACACAAGGCAACTCAGAAGTGACTTCGACCGGGCTCCCTGGCATATAACTGGTTTATTCGACGACATCGATGACAGTGTAGATGCTTGGCAATATCTATACAATGAAGTCCTACATCACCACCTACCCCTACGAGATGCTGAAATAAGAGATAAGTCTCTTCCTTGGATCAACACCTCCATTAGAAAAAAAATTAACAAAAGATACAAGCTCCTTGAAAAGGCAAAGTCATAAGGCGATCCCGAGATATGGAGTCTCTACAAACAGAAGAGATAATAATAATAATAATAATAATAATAATAATAATAATAATCATAATAATCATAATGATATATTAACAGATCCACTAGGTGGCTCTTCCCTGTCAAAAATACATCAATGGCAATGAAAATAAATCAAATTAAGTTATTCACAAATTACGCAATATGCAATTAAAAGTAGAAGTCAGATTAACCGAATAAAAATTACAGTAAAACTAACTAATCGCTCTGTACTCTATTACATAAAAATTGTTTTTTATTTATTTATTCCATTTCACTGCAATTACATGGGGAAAAAACAAAAGAACAGACAATAATAAGAAATTGGATTACATAACAAGGCAGTGGGGAAGACTAGAAGGGAACTGACGAACCATACGTGCTAGTCAACCCATTATGAAGAAAATATACGGATATATAAAAACTTAATCAAGGTATGTAACTAGCTAGCTGCTAACTACCTAACTGAGTAATCTAACTAACTAACTAACTAACTAACAACCTTACTAACTAAGTGCTGGTTTAGCCCAGGTGGTACAGGGGTGCTCAGGTTCGAAAACCCTATCGTTATGAAAAAATAGTGCATAGTCTCTTAAAAGAAGAAACACTACAGGTGGCCGTCCTCAATGCATCAGGTAGATTGTTCCATAGATACGGAATCCTATTAAAAAATGTTCCCTTAAAACATAACATAACATAACATAACATAATCTTTATTTCTTAAGATAAAATCACATATCCTAAGTTACAACATAAACTCACAAGGGAAACTAAAAGTTCCGTCCTGAATCTATTAATTCTTACTTTATTACTTGCATGTGATCTTAATCTCTCATCTGAACAAAATTGAAAATACGAATTAAGTGAAGAGTTAAAATGCCCGCACTTTAGTTTATAAAAAGTTGAAAGATCCTTGACTTCTCTGCGGTAAACCAGTGGTAGCAGGTTGAGACGTTTTAAGCGTTTATTATAATCGGGTAACATAAGCCGAGTCGCACGTCGTTGCACCCCTTCTATTCTTTTTATCATAGCAATTGATTTTGAAAGTCTTAAAAAGGTTCTGTAATCTTTACAGTTTCTAATAAACTCTGGTAAATTGTTGAATAGCTTCGACGAGTTGTCTTGGAAAGTGCTGTTTTCGGTCGGGACCACTAATCTAATTGAATTGCTTGAGCGCAGTTCCTTGCGGCATTCCTGTCTAATTATTTTAAGATAATCTGGCCAAGTCTCAGTGTTATGCAAAGCTTTAAAGTATGATTTCAGGAGGTTCAAATCTCTTCTCTCATTGATTGGAAGCCATCCGATTTTAAGTACATCCCGAAAGTTCTTAACATAGTGACCGAGTACAAAACTTGCGGCAGCAAATTGAACTCGTTGCAAACGGCGAAGTAAGAATTGTGGTAAAGGGTAAAAAAACAGATCTACATAATCTAGTTTTGACAAAATCAATGTTTCTACCAGTTGCTTTCTAAGCTCATATTTGGCAAGGTGTTTCAATTTTCTTAGTATGGATAGAGTGGCGTAGTATCCAGATACCGTGTGCTTGATGTGATCGTCCCACTTCAGATGTTCATTGATGTGAACTCCAAGCAGTTTGCAAGATTTAATACGTCCTAGTTTATAATCACATGACTACGATGTTAGGATCATACTCTGGACATTTGCGGGGTGGATAGGATCGTAACCTTGGTTTTGTCGTTGTTAAAGGCGAGGGTACTCTGCTTAGACCAGGCACTTAGTTTATTAATTGATTGGGAGATACAGTTTCTACAGTTATTTAGGTCAGATAGTTTAGCATGATCGTAGATTGTTGTGTCGTCCACATACTGGAAGCATTTGACATTTACGTTCTCCTGAAGATCAGCAACATAGATATTGAATAGCACCGGGCCCAAGATGGAGCCTTGCGGAACCCCAAAATTCACGTTTTTAAACTCTGAGCACGTGTCATTGATCTGTAGGAATAGTTTACGATGCGTAATATAATTGATTGTCCATATCAGGAAGCCTCTAGGAAAACCTAGTTTACTCATCTTGGTGATAAGATTTCTGAAACATCGTATCGAAGGCTTTGGAGAAATCGGCTAAGATCATCATAGTTACCTCCGAACGTTTCATGGCTTTTACTATGTGGTCTCGTATGGCTTGAAGTACAGTAGTAGTGGATTGTCCCTTTCGATAGGCAGAAATGTTATTGTTGAGAACATTGTTCTTATCAATAAAAACAGACAGCTGACGGAAAATCAGTCGTTCATAAACCTTTGAAAGCACAAGTGATATTGATATAGATCGTAAATCTTTCTCAGATTTAATTTGGCTCCCTTTAGGAATCGCGCAGATGCGCGCGATCTTCCAAGCAGATGGTAAGTACAAGTTCTTGATGCAGGTTCTGATGGCACCATTAAGCGGAGACCCTAGATAATCTGCAACCATTTTCTTCATGTTTGCAGGGATGTTATCAGGACCAGTTGAACAGTCTGATCAAATGTTACGTAACTCGTGGATGACCTCTTTAAGAGTAACGGTCCTGATTTGAAAACCGTTATCAAAGTTTGCAGGGAGGGATTGAATCAAGTTTATAATTGAGGCGTGATCATCAACATGGTGTGCGTTGATGCCAATGGTGCGTTCGGCCGTGGATGCAAAGAAATTGTTTTGCTTGTCCGGTTGCATGGTTATTCGCTGCGGGCTCGGATGTAGGATGCGGTGAATTACTCTCCAAACTTCTTTTGGTTTCTTAGATGACAATATTCTTTCCATGAAGTTTCTCTTGGTTGACTTAATTAATTCTTTAAGGCGATTACGGGCCGCACGGAACTTTTCCCAAGTTTCTTTGTTGTTGTTACTCGTTCCTGCTGCAGATCGTAGGCGGTCTCTTTGTTCCTTGAGTTCCGCAATGACTGGATCTTTAAGCCACGGTGCAGGTGGTCGAGTGACCTTCGTTAATTTTAATGGTGCATGCTTATCGATACATTCTTTGATCAATGAACTTAGTATTTCGAGCTTTTCATCCGGATCGGAGACTCCAAAAGAGGCTGCAAATGGTAGTGGTTTAAAGTCTTCAATAAAAGAAGATTCATCAAAGTTCTTCAAATTTCTGATGAATTTGTGCCTTATTTTGAATCTGGTAACTTTGATGTTAATAGTTGCGTAGACAGCGTCATGATCACTGACTAGAGGACATGGAAGAACATGATCTGTGTGCGAAATTCGTTCTGGAAGGTGAGAGATTATATGATTGATAAGTTTGCTCGTCTTGTCTGTTGTCCTGGTTGGTTTATGTACATGTTGATGTAAGTTTAGTGAAGATAATACGTATATCTTATGAACCAAGTGCGAGGGCCGTACTCGGAGAATATCGGCCCAAGGTCTTGACAGTACGGACCGAGCGTAGCGAGGTCCGTACAAAAAAGACCGAGGGCCGATATTCTTCCAGTACGGTCCCGAGCAAGCTTGGTTAATGAGAGATTTATTATACGACTGAAGTTCAAAGGAACACAAGTGCGGTATCATTCGGGACTGTTCGGGACAGTGCCCGGTCCAATACTGAGAGAATATCGACCGGCGATAGAGCATTTTGATTGGTTGATTTTAGTTATTGGCCCTCTGACTTCCCGAGTCGTGTAATAAGTCTTGATATTGGCTGGTTATGGGTTTATTTGGTGTGAGTAAATCTATGTTGATGTCTCCTGTTACAACTATAAGACCATCCCAGGTTGCTGTTAGGTAACCAAGGAGGCTCTCAAAACGTTCTAGCCATTCCGTTGAGGTTAGCATTCTTACCGAGCGATACATTGTTCCTAAAAGTAGCTTACTATGTTTATTTCTACCGGGAAATTCGAGCCACAGTTGTTCAAGGTCGAGTTCTTTAGCCGCGATGTCACTTCTGCTTTTATAGGTCAAAGTTTCCTTTATGTAAGCTCCCACACCTCCACCTCTGATGGAATTACGGCTTCTAAGTTCGCAATTATAACCCGGTATGGTCACATGGTGTCGTAAAAGAGGGTTGTCCTTTAGCCAGGTTTCACTCATGCTTATCACGTCAAACGGATATTGCTTTATTGTTAGAAGGAGTTAATCAAATGCTGAAACATTTTATTCAAAATTCAAGTTATTAATTCAAGTTTAACTCAAAAAAATAATTTCGCGATCAATTTTTAGACAATGGCGTCACTGACGTATTTTACTGCATGCTAAGTCTTCACAAGGTCTGCGTTTTCGATCTTTCTTTGTTCTTCGGACGAGGAAAAAGGAGTGGGATATCGGGGTGGTTAACTGTCCAACCGGAAACAAACTGATTTGAATTTACCCAATATCCATGCACTTTTCATTTGGCTAATACAAAATTCACCATAACAAATTCCGTGTAACTAACATAAAAATAGATTCTTCAGCGTTTTCTTAATTCCTTATAGGTGTTCGACCATGTTCATGGGGGTTCGATTGTTCCTCAGGCCGGATCCTCGAGTAACTTCGGAGTATATGCACAGCTCGTAAACCACTCGGAAAATCTTCGGAGCTGTTTTAAATTAAAAACAGGCATTAAAAAATTCAGGGATCTTCGGGTAACTTCCAAAACCTTCAGATAATCTTTGGTCAATCCTCGAGTATATTCAGAACTCGTACGCTCTTCGGAAAGGTAAGCTGGAAAACCTATGTGCAAGGTCTGTTAAGGAGGAACGAGGGATCGAGGCCTGTCTCCAACGGAAGAGCTCATCGCTTTCGTTAAGCAGTGCTTTCCCGGAATTGAAATTGTGTGAATGGCAGACTGACTATAGCATTGCTATATTTTCTTTGTACCCTTTTAATGAATAATCGAGATCCTGATTAGAGGGACGCTGACCATGTTAACCTCTAATTTGACGAATGATTTGCTGTTTATTATTTAGTTTCACGCTGTTAAAAAATAAATAAGTTAATAATTAAAAATAAACAAAAGATGAAATGAAAAAAGTCGATTAAAAACAAATGAAGCCGAGGGTTCGATTGTTCCTCGAGGATCTCCGGGTAACTTCGGAGACCCTCGGTTAGCTTTCGGTTAATCCTCGGAATATATATTCGGAGCTCGTACACTCTTCGGAAAAATCTTGAAAAAAGAAAAAAGAAGAATTGAAAAACAAGCCTTCAAAAATTCAGGGCTCTCTGGGTAACCTCGGAA